GCCGTTGGCCAACGATATATAGACTAGACCGGTCACGTGCTGTAAATATTTCAATCCGTATAGGTACGAACTAGAAGAGCCAAGATAAAAGGTTTGTTAGCCGTTGGCCAACGATATATAGACTAGACCGGTCACGTGCTGTAAATAGATATTTCACTTTTGAACTATATATATTTCACTTTTGAACTATTTATATTTCACTTTTGAACTATTTATATTTCACGTTTGAACTATTTATATTTCTCTTTTGAACTATATATATTTCACTTTTGAACTATATATATTTCACTTTTGAACTATATATATTTCACTTTTGAACTATATATATTTCAAGCACATCTCAAACCGCTGACACTCGAAATCTCACTTTAGATGTGAACTCAACATACACAGTGCGAAAGTGAACACAAATCAAAGAAATCACACAGACCCCGGAATATTTTCAACCCGACCCAGAATCGAACACGTGACCGCAAAACACCAAACAAGGCAATTTACCACTAGACCAAACAGACTTGGTTTCAGTCGGAAATCAAATAAGTTGATCGTTAGCCAGCACTATGGCGGGTGCCCCGCCCTCTGGTGGAGTCCAGCAAATCCCCGAGCTGGAAATGAGGCTGAAGGAGATTATGCGACCCCTCGTAGAGAAGATGAACTACCTTGAAGATTGCATCAAAAAGGTACGTCCAACCGAAGAAAACAACAAGGTAAGTAGTGTGGAGGAAATCCTTAAACGCCTTACCCAGATAGAACACACAAACAAATTACTGGTAGCACAAAACAAAGCACTATTACTAGAAAACGAAAAACTCAGAAACACATCGCCTACAACCCCAAGCATAAATATTCCACTATCTATTGCCACACCTAGAACTACTGTTAACGACGCACACCCTACCAAACCGAGTCCCCTACTACCAAAACCCCCACACCAAACCCCGCCCACAACATACAAAGATATGCTGAATCAAACACGAAACCCCTCCTCAAGGGAGGCACAAGCACATCTATTTCAACCCAGCAAGCCACCCTCTATATGGGATTGCCAGGAAGATTGGGATCTCACAGCTTTATACTTTAGTTGCAATACACATGCACTAGACGATGGTACATTGCCTACCAACAAGCATCTATCAAAATGGCTGCGTAATTTCCACCTGCTGAAATATGTTCCCATCCTTCACACATCATACCTATACAAAGACCGAAGTGCAGTGGAGCTAGTAGTACCCACACGTTTCGCAACTAAAACAAATAAACGCTCTTAGCCCGCGGCTGGCGAACTAGCAAAGGTGCAGACCCCGCCAACATCACCAATCCAATCGCAATACAAGGCGCACGCAACCGACTAACAAATGCGCATGCAAGTGCATTAACACGAGAAAAGTGCCCACCCCAATACCCCCGCATATTGAAATATTTGCTGGATCGAGTACCAAACGATCCAACCAAACCCACGTCCGCTACCAACGCAGTAGTACAAACTGCTACTCGTGCGAACGCCGAATCAACCCCCACACCAAATACTATCCAACCTGAACACCCAAACCCTACTCAAGTAGACACCCTACACACAAACACACCCGAAGGCACAAAGGCAATAGATTCCACCTCTAGAAACCCAAAACGGAATATGGCTAGCGACGAAGAAGCAGATAGAAACACGATCAAACCTAGAATCGAAGACTCTATCGTTGTTGACCAAACCGAAGAAAACTCTGATCATTACATGTCAGATGACGAAATAGCATCAGTTCTAGGTGATATCTCTATGTCCCCTCAAGTATCTGATGAAGAAACTGAAAGAGACGAAATCGCAATGAGTGACATTCTCGTGTATTATGTCAACCTAAACTCACTGAAAAACACACAAACACAATACAGAGCAATACGCAGACTGTGCGGTCAGTGTGACGCCCTATGTTTAGTAGAGACATGGGGCTACACAAACCGCCTCAATGAAGTTTGCAATGCAAGTAATACCAACCTTATCTATGCTTCACCCCCATCTAGTAGTATACACCGTGGTGTGTAGCCTTAATAAGTAGACATAACCCAAACGATTTCAAACTACATGCACAGAGCCAATACTTTGTATCATTCACCTTTCGCATGGTCACCATAGCATGCGTCTATTTAGCACCACACCTAGGTGACGACGTATACAAAACCTTAATGGCACTCAACTGCAAACCTCATGTACCAGTTGGAGACATGAATTTCCGCGATACAGAATATAATGACTTCCTCATTAAATATCCCGACCGCAGAAAATCAATCGAACACTATACTCAGCTACATCAAATGGATCATATAACACCAAACCAATCAGCAAACATACGAGTCGATCACGCTTACGCTCAAGCACGTACAAGAACACTGCTCACGCTTATCAAAGCCGCAGACATTTCACTCAAAACCGATCATGAATGGGTGTTTTCACTCAACATCAAATCACCAGACATACAACACCCCAGTACTATGCCTACATCCACAGAATGTATGCCATCACACGGGTACAACAGATACCGTATTCGAACTTATAATTGCAATAACGCGCGCTACGCAAATACCTTTCGAGCCAGAATACGAGCTAACTCTAAGTCATGGCTACGACTTATCCAGAATGCAAATCAGGACAAAATCACATCAGTATACGATACGATAGTCAACAAGCTCTGGAAAGTAGCACAGGGTAAATTCTACGGTTACTATCTGGAAAACAACACCCACAGATCCCACACACCATTACGGGCTACCGAGCGTATCCCTAATACCACCATTGTGAAATTATTCACTAAACAAAAGAAATCACTATCCAAACAACCATCCATACCCAACACAACAGAACCGACAGCACACATCATTAGCTCATTTCTGAAAAAGCTATTTAACCAGAAAATACCTTACAAAATACCAGAAGAAACCCATACTGAATTCATACCTCTCGATCAAGATATCTTCACCACAGCACATATCATGCAAGTCATACTAGCATATGATAGCCGAAAGGGCTCCGGCCCCGATGGGATACATATTGATATTCTCAAGGCAGCTATCGAAACCTATCCCATAGGACACAAACAGGAGGGTAAACCAAATCCCAAGTCACCAATTCTGAAAGTCCTCACTTATCTGTTCAACAAGATATTACATACGGGTAACGTACCTTCAGCCTGGCTATGCACACTTATCGTGCCCATTCCCAAAACGGAGGTACCCTCAGGTCCTGAATTCTTTCGACCTATAACACTCACACAAATACTCCGCCGTATGTTCCAAATAGTACTGCTGAGTTACATGAACCAGCTATCTGCTTTTAAAACACATAGCAGACAAGGCGGGTTCAAATCAGGCTACTCATGCTTCACACACGCCCTCACCCTACACGAATACATCAATCAATCAAGCCCCACAGCCCCACACACCCACCAGGTATTCCTGGACATTAAGAAAGCATATGACTCAGTCAAACTTGACCGCCTCGGGCGTCTTCTACACAATCGACGGGTACCCACCCCATTGATCACCCTCTTCCAAAGCATGTACCATAATGTAGTCTCTCGTATTACATACCAACAAGTCCTCGGGCCTACGTTCACACGTGCTCATGGTTTGACTCGGGGAGATCCAATCATCCCCACACTCTTCAACATATACATTGACCCGCTACTCGATAACCTTGCTAAAGTCGACCCCCGAGGCTTTCTTGGCTGGGTCGACGACCTTGCATTATACAACCGCGATCATAGCAAGTTGCAATTAGGCCTCAACCATGCTTATGTATGGGGCAAACGCTCCGGTGTTGAACTCCACCCAAAGAAATCGATATACGTAGCACCGCAAAATCCCAAACTAGCACACAAGTTCATGCTCGGACTGAATAGTATCGATGCCCACCCCACTGCTAGATACTTGGGATTCCCTATGGGACCCAAAGGCATAGACATCGTACAAATGTTGGACACACGTATAAATACTCTGAACGAATCCATAAGCCACAGCGGCCCCCTTGGCTTCCGAGCTGGGACACACCTACACCCACACAACAAGCTCATGATCTTCCGAGTATTTATACTTTCGAAAATCACTTACGGTCTTGCTTTTATTCCACTATCACACTCCTCACTCACATCACAAATCAATACACAACTCGACAAGCTCGATACCGTAATTCACAAAACCTCTGGATATATTCTATCCACTGCGGCACACAAAAAGACCCCAACAAAAGCCACACCAACTATGCTGAAACAAATTCAGTTCTGTGGACTCCTCCACGCACGAGCCTTATGCACCTGGCAATGCGTGAGTCTTATAAATCATATAACTCGTATGTCAAGCAGGAATCTTTTACAGGAATATCTAGGCAAACAGGCAACCATATTCACCCCTATGAGACTCACTATGCTCGCTCGCGAGAACATACTCCACTACCCCCCGTTCATAGCATACAGGAAACTGAAACAGGCATACACGAACAAAAAAACCAAACAAAAAGGAAAGCGCGCTACACCGACAAGCGGCTCGCGAACTCCGATTTGGACTCATCTACCCCGGCGAGGAAGAGCGGTACCGACTCGACACGCTACTCGAACATCACAGCTTCAGCAGTCTCTTATTCAGAGTACCAACGATAGTCGCACTGTACGTCACGAACAGGTATATGTTCACGCTAGAAAAGACCCCGGCAGGTCTCACATGCATTGGCTGCAGCAAAACACCTTTCACCACATCACACTTCAAGTGTCCCCTCGTGCTCCCCTACATGTCTAAACTCATCGCACCACAGAAAGAGTCGATAGCAACTTGCTTGACGCCCTTAGCACCCGCAAGCGCTACATAGACATGCTCACACTACACGACCAGTTGGTGTACTTGCACAAAGGACCCATACCACCCCAAGTGCTGCTGGACTGTGTGTTCCCAGTGCCACGGTTC